TGGTCCCCGGGCCGAGATTTGAACCCGGGACATCCCAAATACGCAGCTGAGCGGTGGTAATGAACCTTGTGATTCCACGCCTCCGCGATTTTGATTTCTAGCACAAACGCACGCTTCAGTTAGCCAATCAACAAGTTACAGCGCATTTGATACGTCCACGAAGGAGCCCAAATTTGTCATTCCGTTCTCTTTATGAAGACTGCCGTACGGTTCGACGGAGAACGGCAGAGTCTGTCACAAAACGCTGAAGCGCTCAGCCACGGGGCATGACGAGTTGCGGGTCTGACGTGCGGAATACCGGGATGACAGGAGATGAAGGGCGCTGGGCTATGGGACCGGTCGCCCTACAAGACGCGACGAGTGACGGGCTTGAGACAGCTGTCAAGCCTGAGCGACGTTCAGGGTTGACAGGGCATACAACAGATGAGCGCGAAACAAATGATGTGCGAAAACACGACCAACAACGCCTGTTTCGGGTTCACGAAATCATCACGACCACGCCACGTGAACAGAGAAGTGGTGGTCTGAAGAGTCTGAAGAAAACCGAGAGATGGAGAAAGACATTCACATACATCGGACAGAGGACATGATAAGAATGCGATGATCTTTGGAAGTATAAAGTGATCTACAAGCAGCTTTACGACAAAGTATAACGCAAAACACCCGCGAAAGTATCACGTGGGACGGTCAAGAAACATTTGGACAGGACTACAACGGAAGACGATAAATGTCGACAACAGAATCAAGACAGGAGCTTCATTTATTCAACACAGCAAGACTTAAAGGGAAAACGCATATCGACCAGATAAGTGTTCGATGAGCCACGCTGTAAATGTGCGCAAACAAACGTAAGTACGTCGTCACGCAAAGTGTGCGTTCGATGTGTCGACAGATTCTGGTGAATTCGGTCATGAACGCGCGAAATTGAACTGCCGTTCGGACATAACGCAAAGTAGGGAGATTTGTGTAATCGAGACAAAGCTAGACGGCAGTGAACAGCGTAATCCAGGGACTCTCATCCGTCCTTCCCCGGGAGACAATCCGTTTACGTCACAAGACGCAATAACCACGCAGACTTTTCCACGTGTGGCTGCCCCCACTCCAGGGATATTCTTCGCGAATCCACAGGGGAGTCGCGACCCACCGATTAAGAACTGTCAGAGCTGAGTGCAGGGCAGGGGGACGTGGCCGATACGAAATCGAGTCGACAGAACAGCGAGGACCTCAAGGGAATCCTCACGCGGTGAACTCTTAAAGAGAAATGGGGTTTAGACGACCGAACCATGGCAAGATAGCCAATACATTTGTAACGCAGGAAAGGTCTCTGCAAAAATTTAGTGTCGACCTGTTCGAATTTATCTTTCAGTTTCCGTTGTTTTTGTTCAATGTGTTGGAAGTCAGGAATGCTGGTCAGTCATCATCAAACAACAGGGTGGTAAGTCTGTCTACTGATCTTGTAACTCATCCGTAGTTCTACGCAGTTGCGGCTTGAGGAGATACAGAATTACGATGTAATACACGCCAACGTAAAGAGATCTGTTGAGATACTAGAGTTCTCACAGAAAAAAATTAGCGAAAACACAAATGCACAACATTGCAGTAAGTAATTCTGAAATGTTGTAGTGAGACTTGGAAAGAGCAGGAAACCGGGCACCGGAGGAAATACTTGAAAGCAGCACAAACGGGAATCCTCACGACCTCAGGTGCGAATTACAGGACCAACCGAGCGGACATCACAGAAAATGTATTCTTTCGAATATCAACAGTAACATGTAAGAACGAATGTAATACAAGGCAGGCAGGGGCTGGGACACAGAAGCCCGTCGAACAGAAAGGAGGCACGACAACGAAGAGGAAAGCGGAAGGAGGAAGTGTCCAGTGGAGACGCCGAGGCAGCCTTCAAAATTCATTCAATAATAAATTTATACGGGTGTCAAACCTGGGTCTCTCAGCTTGAGCGAATGACAGAGATCGAGGGCGTTTGAGAACAGCTGGACCTGACAGACGGGAAGATGGACGAAACCGAATAACGAGGAGCTTCAACGGTTTGCAAACTGAGGCCCGCTTTGTTCAACAAGTGGCAGGGATTATCTTCTACAGGAACAACAAATAATCGAGCTGTTCCCGTAGATGGTCATTATTATTAATTACTGAATGTTTACGCTTTTCACCAAATATTAATGTTACTGCGATTAAATGAAGGTGTCCGTATAACCTGGAGGGGAAACTGAGAAACGCGGGCCAAATGTTTCTTACAAAATGCGAAGAAGAGAGAACTTGGGAGACCAAGAGATAGAATCCGAGCCAACGGTACAACCCATCCCGACGAAACGCGGCATAATCATGTGGATACTGCAGACGAAGTTCAGGCCGGAATATTTTTATGTTCCCTTATTCTACCTAAAAATCTAAAGGTTGAAAAATTATGAAAACATAATTTTACACGATGTTTAAGATCAAATCTTAGTTGGATGACGTAATAAAGAAGAATGAGATGGAAGGGCATGTAGCACGCATGGGGAGATGGACAGAAATTCGAACACAGTTTTATCCACAAAATTTGAAGCAAAAATATCATCTGAGATAAGAAGGTGTACATGGGAGATATAATATTAAAATGGATGTTAAGAAACCGATCTGTGGAGTCGGCTTATCTTGTTCAGGCTGCGGTCCAGCGCTGGGCTTTGTGAACAGGGCAATTAACCCTGGGGTCCTCTGAAGGGAGTATCGGAGCGAATGGGGTACAATGCTGTGAACTCGCAAAGTTATGAAGGAACGGATATCAGTGATTATTAATCCTCTGCTACGTTACATAGGAAGTCAATCGATGACTATTCGTAAGAGGGAAGGGGGCAGAGGTCAGGAGAGAAATTAAATGTTAATCTCTCTCGTGGGAAGCGAAATTATTAACTGCGCACTACCTGCTGCTGTGACCAGTGGACCAATTCTGACCAATTAACGAGCGTGACCTCCCACACGACAGAAATCCAATATCGGAGAAGCAATATCGAATTTTCTCCAGCGGAAATTAAAAATAATACGCATCCCCCCAGTTGCTGGGGCAGTTAACTGTAATTTAACAGCAATCGCATACGAACATTCAAAACACACAAACTTTAATTTCCATTAAATTGAGAAAAAAAACATCGAAAAAGTCAATGTACACCAACGAACAACTTCATGTTGAATGTTGTACAAAAAAATATTCAGGGCTTGTATTCCAACCACCAACGTTCACACTAATGTAACCTGCAGCTGTTTCTGTACAATTTAACGCGAGCTACTGACAACAAAGCGTAAAATAAACGCACAATGAAGAGGCTGTGTCCGTCCGCGATATTCTACGTATCTTAAAAACATGTAAAGTAATTTAGACTATATTTGATACTGATGGTGTGGACTGACAGACTCTGCTTTCCTTCCTGTGCCTTAACAGAGCTGAAAGTTATGACTGCGGTCATGAAACGGGAAGGAGCTGACTGCAACGTGGCGCAAATCCTCCGCCACAGCCCACGTGTGTGGGCTTGAGTCCTTTCTTTCAGTTCCCGCTGTTCGGTGTGATATTATTAAAATGGAGGTTATCACAGCTCAGCAGTTTGCCCGACTGGACACAGACTGTTGTTGTAAAGGTGGTGGCCCTGGTGTGAATTTTCGTTATTTTCCTCAGACCACGCATTAAAACGCTGTAATAGTACTACAAATACTCCACATACGCTGCATTCCATCTCCAATTCATCGTTCAACGCCATGTAACTCAAGCAGTTCGAAAAAAGCGTCGTTATGTAACTGGTAATTAAAAAAATTAGTCAACCCAAACCTACAAATCCTGTGAATTATGCTCCGTGGATCTTTTTCTCGGTGCATGCGCACTGCTGATTCATCTGATCTGAAAATTCTTACAGCAGTCTTACCAAATTGAAACCAAACACCGCGGATGTTCTGGATCGCCGCGATTTTGAACGAAGTGGCCAAGAGCACAGAGACTAGCAACGAGTTGGATGACCTGTGTTCAGTTCCCGGCAGTTGCTCATCCCCATTTGTTGCAATGGGAGGGAAATCTTGGAGCTTAACCTCCATTCCAGTCTGACGCCTACACGCGGGCGGGCAACGCTGTACTGATTCGGTAAGTAACTCGGATATTTCTTTACTACAGGAACAGCGGTCCCTTTCCGGGACTGAAGCAGCTCGTTGTTCGCCTGGTGTTGCTCTGTGCTCATGGCGTCCACATTTGGAATTTAATGACTCAAGTTCGCTCAACAGTTTACAGCGCAGTGCGATAAACTTTGCTCACATCTGAAACTTTCCGTGCCTTAATTTTATTCACAGGGACGAGGGGGGGTTTTAGGGGTGGATCTTATTAGGCAGCGCCACTGCTCACCCCCTTCCCCCTTCTCTCTTCGCACCTGCTTTTCTCTTCAATGCAATTTACGTTAGCGAATGACTAAATATGGAGGTTCAGCCAGAACAACACACGCAGAAAGTTGGTCTCCAATTTGGAGTTCACGCAGACATTGCCCTTCTGCATACCTCATTACCCTTGGTCTAATGTTAAAACAGATACATTCTGCTGTTAAACCAGTAAATTGTCGAATCTGCTTTTCCTATAGCATAAAAGCAAATATTTTAACTTATTCTGTTTCAATAGCACGCGGATTCTGTTTCCACGATTCAAGTTAGGAGACGATGTCACGAGACTAACAATAAAACATTAATGCTGTCGAATTAAGACGCGTGGGTCAAGGCGTTATGTTATTCTGACGATTGTCGTCATTTGAACACGCTTCTGCACGTCACTAACAGCTCTGCGTCAGTTTACGCGTCTGTATATACGCGATTTTTTTTTGCGAACATCCGCTACTTAATCCCATTCTCCGAGCATATAAACAGCTAATCTGTATCGATAACAGCTCCACGCACCTTTTCTACCGCCTCATAAAACAGCCTCCACAGTCTTCGACGCCTACCTCTGACATGTTTGCTCTAAAGAGATGTCCACTCACCTTCCTCTCGTGGTGACGCGGCGGTGCAGAAGGTCAGTAATATCACCGATAACAGGGTCACCAATGGCAGCCTCATTCCCGAACTATTTCACTGTGACGTCATCACTCGACCTGTAACACAACAAACCGTCCGTATGTCAAATCCAGTTTGTGCCCAGGAAGACATCGCCGTTTAGAAAAATGGCGAACACTACGTGTAAGACTTTGGATCAGAACTGTGTACGAACGTGCGCAAGGCCAAAGTCTGATGGCTTTGCGCCTTCGTTCTGTTCCTGTCAGGGGTGCACAGAACTGGGACTGTTTAGCGTTTGTGGTTCTCTCGATTCCAAAAAAATACAATGAAAATCTAATGGATATTATGTTAACAAATTAGGTGTGGGTCCTAATGTTGGTGCGAACGTCTGAGTTGCGACAGCGCATAGTTTTGTTATTCATTATCAAAGCAGAATTCTACTATGAGGACAGAGGCGACACATCCTTCCAAAACTGGTAATCACCTAGTAGGCTATTCCGTGTATTAGACGGACACGCACAGCAGCATTGCAATTCCACAAGGACGTCTTTCTTTAAAATGACAGAAAATGAGCTATAATGGCACTGCTCCTACTAAGATACACGCTGCAGAGATAAGACTGAATCAAAGAAGCCAGATACGAGGTGCGATCGGAAAGTTTCAAGACTGCGCGTATAAAAACCCGTACACTTATCTCAGGTATTAAATTCATCCATCACCCTCGAAGTAGTTCCCCTGGGAGTGACCACAACGATCCCGGCGCCGCTGCCAAGCCTGGAAGCATCCCTGGAAATCTTTCTTTGTCAGCCTGTCAAGCACCATCTGCGATTCTGCCTGAATCTCTTCTATCGTCTCAAATCTCCTTCCCTTTAGCTGAATTTTCAACTTTGGGAAGAGGAAGAAGTCACACGCAGCTTAGGAAGGAAGTTGCGGTCGGTTCTTGCAAGATC